CCAGAATGAAAGCCGCGCAAGGCCGCCGTGCGAGACCCCCCCCCCCCACAACCCCCCCCCAGTGAGCAGCAATCAACAGGACCATTGATCTCACAGACCAAATCTCCCAGCACAGTAAGGGCTGTGAAATGCTGACCTTGCTGCCCACATGTCTGCACTGCCTCTGGGATCAAGTTTCCCTCTCCAATTAGATTGATTTGCTGGTAAAATTAAAAGGATTATGTCAAGGAAAACTTGTGTTGAGAATAAACAAACAGTTACAAAGCCAAGATTTGGCAGTTTGTGGGCGGGTTTTACTGTTTGACTATAGAACTAGTCCCCTGTATGTCATGTTTAAATGTTTTTGTGTGTGAACGAACGCGATAAAAAAGAGATTAATGTCACATTTATCGTTTGCCCGTCGCTTGTTGTTGATGTGGAACAGGTCCCTCGGCGCCGGGTTTTGGCTGTGCAGCGCCATCAAGTGGTGGTTTCAGAAGGATGGAACAGGAACGGGTAACAAGCTCCTTTTAAAACCTTTTATTATTTTTGTAGGTTTTCTAATTACATAAAAAGAAAAACAGATGGGAATCTAGGCACAACCTGCTGCTGGAGTTACAGTCAGGAGATGTTTTCTATTAAAAAACGTGGACCTGGTGTCACAGAATGAACCTTTCAGATATTTAATTGACCTGAAAAAAGAACACGATACAGTAACAACAATAAGAATAAAACAGAAATATTCTTTAACATTTAAACTTTTGTGAGAAATACAGGTTAACATTGTTTGGTGAATACAAAGAGGATAAATCGGAGGAAACCTACTAAAAAAAGGAACGAGGCTGGAGTTCTTTTTACGGGACTGGAAACAAAAACAGACGTCCAGATCGGGTTTAAGAACTCTCCCGAACAATCTTTACCAAAGTCATATCAAAACTGTCTGAACTGTACACAGCTGTCCTAAAACCCCACGCCGCAGACACTTCTCTCCAGGCCTCGGCTCCAATGTTTTCTCAGTGGTGACTCAAACCTGAAGCGCGTTCTCGCTCTTTCAGAGTAAACACGCCTGCGGCTGAACAGCACGGCCTCACGCTCGCACATCTAGTTTCTAATAAAACCATATTTCATCTGAGATTTGGATTCATACGCATTTGCTTTTTCCGTTCAGCCTGAAACGATTGTTGTTGTTTTTGGGGGGGGGGCAGTTAAACAAAATCCAAAGTGTTCTGGGAAAATGGAGCTTTGTGTGCCGTTTGTCTAAAAATAAAGGCTGTCGATTTACTGGGATATTTCTGGCTGTGACCTTTTGTTTGTCGGAGGCTCGGAGCAGCGCTGTGCAGAGGCGGAGGAGGCAGGTATGAGAGGATGATGGAATATTAGCCATGGGTGGTGTCGTCCTCCACAAAGTCTTTGGCCTGCTCGGCTGTGATCACGTCGATGTGACTCACCTGAAAGACAGGCAGCCAATCGGGTCAGCGCCTCCGCTGCTGCTGCTAATGCTGCTAAAGCTGCTAATGCTGCTGCTCTGACTAACGCGCCGGCACTCACCTTGTTTCTGAACTTCACGCCGTAGAACTTGTCGGCCGACTCGAGCAGCTCGGGCCTGAAGGTGGTGGTGATGAACTGAGCGTGGCCCGCCAGCTCCACGATCATGTCTGAAAAGTTCACATTCAGGTCATCCATAAAGGTGTGATCTGTCCCGGGGAGATGCTGCTGCGTTTACACTAAGTATTCACTTCTGAGTGGAAAAGACAATCCATTTGTTTTTGTTTCACTCGAGGGCTGGGAGATTTTTTGTTTGTTTTTTTTAACATCCATCAGAAATCCACTCGGATCATAATCCAGATTCAAGCAGTGCGAGTTTAGTTAATTGTCTCACATTCAAATATTTAGTCCCGTTCCTTTATTCCCACACGTGTATCTTTACCTGAGACGGCCTTCCTGTGCTGGGCATCCAGGGCCTGATCGATCTCATCGAACAGGTAGAAGGGAGCAGGGTCGCACTTCTGAATGGCGAAGATCAGGGCCAGGGCCACCAGCGACTTCTGGCCTCCGGACAGCTGCTGCATCTCCCTCATCTCCCCCTGCTTTCCAGTGAACGACACCTACGCAGGAAACGGGAAAGCAGTTAGTTAGTTACGTGGTCATTTATCCCGCCAGTTACACGGAGAGGTGATCGTGGGTTTTTGTGTCTCACAAAGGACCCTTTGATATTCCTCCCGAGGCTGCAATCACAGATCCTCTAATCTACCACTCATAATAGCTGGGCCCCGGTCGTATTCAGAGATTTATTATTAATAGATTCTCTGTATTGACGGACGAACGAAGCCACTGCTCTGTTATGACGGCTTTCATAAAGTTTGGGCTAAATCCAGCGAGAAGTCAATTCTGCATTAGTCACTGGATGACTAAGCTTCACCGTGGACTTGCTTTGTAGGAGGTTAGTCCATAAATAAACATTCTCACATGCTTCCAGAAAAACAAATTAAAGGAAAGAACTTAAATGCCTGAATAATGGGGTAACAAAACAGTGAAAAAGCTTCAAACTGGAAACATTTTTCTCAAACAAAAAACAGGTCTTTTGAACTAAAGCAAACATTCGGGGTGGATTCTTACTCTGATGCCGACTCCAGTGAACTGGTCCACTGAGGGAACGCTGCTCTGTGACCCCGAGCCCCGCTCGCTGTCCGCACCCCCCTCGCCCTCGTCCTGCGACTGGCTGCCTTCGGCGTCGCCTTTCTTCATCACCAGTGTGGCTTTGCCGCCTGGCACCAGCTTCTGGAAGACTTCGCTGAAGTTCTTTGACACCTGGAAGGTGGACGATGAGTTAGCGCCAACGTGAAGCTGAACGTACCGACACAGAGCGATTGCACCTCCCGAAAGAAGGAGCCAGCATCCAGTTTACATGCATTTAGAATCAAGAGAAACAGACTGAACATCTACAAGGAAACACCATCTATAAGGAATCTGATGGAGCCGTTTGAAAGGTGGGCCGGTGGCGATGGGGGTGAGGGGCTCTGTACCTGTTTGAAGGTGAGCTGGATGGCCTCGTACTTGCGCAGCTCCAGGACGTTCATGAGCTCCATGATGGACTTGTAGCCCCGGTCCAGCTCGTCCTGACGCTTGATCAGCTTTTCCTTTTGCTCGGAGAAGTTGACAAACTGGTCCAGAGCCTTCTTGTTGACGTGGCTGTACTTCTTCAGCTCCGTGTTGCACTGCTCCAGCTTTCTGAACAGCTGTTGAAACAGGAAATTTGACGTCATTCATTCATTCGTCGATGCCGTTCTCGATCCGCTCCTCATAAATTTCACTCGGTGCAGAAGAGCTTTAAGAGATGCCCCCGAAGCTTTGCTTTAGATGGGACCAACATAAATGTTTCTGCTCGCCTGACCAGTATTCCACCATCAGAGCATCAGAGTAGATTTTCTGTTCCTACAAACCAGTGACGCGTAAATCACAGGGAGGATGATGCTAGTTTAGTACTCTCTAATGAGAAAGCCCAGCTTGGAAATTCTACTCAATTAGTCTTAATTTTTGCTAAACACCCGTTTCACTCCAGAGACATACATTTAGATTCTTTGTGCTTTTAATAAATTCAAGCTTCTATTTATATCTGAAAAGGGATGATGGAACAGCCTGATTAATTATGACAAAGTGGCACACACTTTTCCAACTCTCAAGCTATAGATTCCCCTATTTAAATCACTAATGACCAAGGGAACACGGACAAGTGCCATTAGCACTCGGACCTCTCATCCACTTCTGCAATCAGTGGTACCATCTTGTCCCCGTACAAAGTCCCTTGGAGAAAGAATAACTACATGAAGTGTTTATGAGGAACTGTGAAGTTATTTTGAGCCTCGTCAAGGAGGGGAGCTGAGACACGAAGACACACAGAGCACACACTCAGACACTTATGAAAGATGCAGCCAAGTCCACTCGTCTCAGTCTTTGCTCCCAGCGGCAGCTGGCTGAAAGGAAAAATTAGACCGCACTAACTCGTGTGTGAGTCACCGAGTGGGTGGGATGTGATGCTTCTGGACCTAAAGAAACAAAACCCCAGCCCTGACAGAGAGTGTGTGTGTGTGTGTGTGTGTGTATGTGTGTGTGTATGTGTGTGTGAGAGAGAAAGAAATGTCCTAAGTTTGACTTTGGAGTAAAAGGAAACCCCGAGATACTCTGGATGCTGCCGTTTGTGTGTTATGTGCAGAGATTCGCTGTGGAATTAAGTCCATTTGTTTAGGAAAAAATAAAAAAATGGAATAAATGAGGGATGAAACCACTACATATCTAAAGGATGCTGGTGCTGGCTGGCAGAGCCATCGACTAACTGAGTGGAAGTGTGTGTGTGTGTGTGTGTGTGTACCTGCTTGAGTGTGAGGGTCTGGTACTTCTCAAAGGCCTCCTGAGGCAGTGAGCCGAGCTCTCTGATCTTTTTCATGCACTCCTCTTTCTTCTTGAGCAGCATTCCCTGCCTGTTGGTCATCTTCTCCAGCTCTTTGGTGTCGTGGTTGATGGCGTCATTCTGCTCTTTCTCGATATTTTTCCATCGCTCCATGCTCTTTATGTGGTCCTTGATCTCTCCCTCCGTCTTGTCAATCATAGAATCCAGATCTGGGGGACAAAAAGGTTTTAGTCCAAATGAGGCAGTGATGCAAAGATTGTTGTTCTTGGTTAAAAGGTATTCAGTGAACAAACTGTTTCGCTTTTAAAGTAATCAAGCCAACCACATAAAATTATTCAAACAAAAGGAAATAAAACATCAATTTGAAGAGTCAAAGAGACTTTACTATGAAAACAATGCTATGCCGTGATTAATTTTAGCCATCAGTTGGATGTTTAACCCATCGAGGCTGTTATTCAGGGTGTGTGATATTAATCTCCGGTGGGTTTAAATACGCAGTAAAAATTTCTCAAGTGCTCCGTGGTTTGCGGGTTTAATCACTGGCTCAATCACCTACCTTCCGATCGAGACAGAGTATCTTTGACACGTTTGTTGATACCATCCAGCTCAGATGTTGTGGCTGTGAGCACTGTGCCTCCCTCAGTCTCTCGCAGCTCATTTAGCTCCTGTCAATGCAAAAGGCATAAATCGGAGATAGAAATGTGGTCATCTGAGAGCTCTGAGAAGTTCTAGAAATCCTCTCTGACCATCACATGAAAAAAGGACACTTGCTCATTTAGTGATAATACTATACATTTACAATTAGGGCAGAAAAATACTCGACATAAATGAGAGGAGGTACATTATAGAACATTAAACACTTCTAAGGCCTGTGAGTGTGATAGGGATCAGCATACCTGCTCCACTTGGTCAAGACGCTTCCGTAAGTTCTCGTTGAGATACGTTTCCACCCTGGTCATTATTCCCTCCAGCTTGATTCTCTCATTTAACAATTGCCGGTTGTCCTGCGATGCAAAAATTTAAAATCAACCAAAAACCATCACTCACATGAAGCTGAAAAAAACAGAAAATCAGTGAATTTCAAGTGGCAACATTTTTTTTTTCTTTGTGTGTTTACTGCAAAATTCTGCTAAGTAAAGGGCCCACAAACATCCATTTCAACATTTAAGCTGGATATCATTCTGTTAAAAACTGATTAATAAATACAAAACCAAGGCTTAAGTTGTGAATATGGCTTGACAGCTGAAAACCCAGCACTATCACACATGATAGGCTCAGCGTTGTGGAGGCAGCGTGGTTGTGTAACAATAGCAGGGATGGAGGGCACTGAGGTGAGGGCTGTGAGCAGCTGGCAGTGAAAGGGAAAGAGGGGGCAACGCTGGATCGCAGGAACAGCCCACACACAGCTGCAGTTTGCCATTTTCACCTCTTTTAAATACAATGAGGGGAGGCGGAAGAGCAATGGAAACAAAAGAAGGTAGGTAGAATTCTCGGAGTCGAGGCAAGTTCAACTTTCAGTTTTCAACAGGATCTTCACCAGATTTTGTCCGTTTTAAATGCCGCTCTTTTCACAAAAGGGCTCATTGCTATCAAAATGACAAACAATCCAACAAAGATACAGCGTTTGTAGTTTCAAAGTGGCCTTTTGTGATCTTGGAGGAAAAATGTTTCACTGCACGCTACTTATTCCAAAAAGTCCTCCATTTGTTTTTCAGTTTAGGGGAGAACACCCTGTAACAGACTTCACAGTACAGTAAACTTTCCCCTGACCTGCTGCAACTGACGAATCTCATCGTTGAGGTCATCCACGCGTCTCTGATCCTCAAGGCTGAGCTGAGAAAGGAGATCTGTACCGAGCTCAGCCTTCAGAGACTCCCTGGTCGACTCCATGGCGTGGAGACTGGCCTCCAAACTTTGCAGGCTGCGTTGCTGAGGAGGAAGCAGAGGAAGTATGAGTCACACCGAAGTGACTTCAGTCCCAATGACTTCACTCTAGTTTGGGATCGTTTATGATCAAAACACATGTACAACCTTGGGCATGAAGGTCTTCTCTGACTGCTGCCTCTTCTCCTTTAGCATCTTCATCTCTGACAGAATACTGTCTCTGGACGCCTTGAACTTCCTCTGCTGAGTCTCGATCTGCTGCATCTGGTTCATCAGCTGGTCGATCTCGTTGTTGATGCGTGGAGCAGCCATTAAGGAGTAACACCAAGGTTTCTTTATGGACGAGCACTTCACTCAGCAAAGACGAATACTGACTCAACAATTTGTTTTGTGACAACCGTTATCTGTTAATGTCACTGTTCATATTACACCTTAACTTATTTCTCTCAGTATCAGCAAAAGATTAATTAATAAATTACAAGGGTTGTAAATTATTTCGCAAACAAACTTCTTTGTTACTGAACTCAGTAAATTCAGAACAGACATTAAGAGATTCCATAATAGTAATATAAATAAATGAATTTGAACTAATGTATCATTATCAACAGATTAAAATAGATTTTTTCTTAAAAGCCCTCTATAACAAGGAATTCAGAATTGGATTCTGACACGATAAAATGCATCTAAAACATATTAGGAAACAACAGAGACCTCGTTGGCAAACAGTCTGAGGGAAGCTGAACAGATTTTTGGCACAACCCACTGCGTTTGAATAATGTGACAGGGCTTCAAAGGGGAAGACAGTGTCAGCCCTGATATCAAGGAAGAGGATTAAGAAGGGCTGCACACTCATCATTAAGCTAAAGTAACACACAGGCTTATAGATTTTCCAGGACTGAAACACTTCTCTGGCCCTTTGAGGTTTAACAGGACTCAATGAAGACTAAATCAATCTGCTAATTTAATCCGAAAAAAAAAAGAAAAAAAAGGTGGAGAGGGAGAGAGAAAGAGAGAGAGGCTCTCCCATCCACCAGTATGAATAAAAAACACAAGATCCTTCACCCAAACAAATCTGCAGGAGTTAACGCTCAGTGACGTCGAAAAACATTTACTATAGAGGCTATTCCTGAGGTGAAATATGGTGTAAATTAAGTGGGCTAAATCTTGTGGTTAGCGGCGGGGAAGCAATGGAGAGTGAACAACAAGAGGCTTTTAAATCATTGATCCACTCTGACTCATCGCTGCACAAGTGAAGGACAGGCAGCTGCTTCTCCCGCTTAAAGACACACAGACATTATTAGGTGCACATAAACAAGCTCACGGACTGTCACTTCGAGGCCACACAGCATCCCACAAGCCTCAGTACACACATTTGCTCATCCTGGGATGGATGTGACCAACTGCTCAAACATACTGCACTTGCAAAAATAAAATCCTCTTTGATCCACTTCTCTGCCTTCATTAGCTGTCTTCAAGTGAGTCACGGCTTTGTCGGATATGACCCAATATACTCTAAGCCTTCTTGGCCTGCTTAAAACCCCACTCCTGCTGGCCTTGAGGCCGCTTCGTGACCCTGATGGACTCAGTCCATGTTTCAAACATAGCCTTCGACAGAGGAATGGCTGTCTGACTAGTTTCTAAAAGGGAGAGCTTATTAGAAGTTCTGTGTATTGCAGTGTAAACATGAGTAATTGTCTGTCAACAGTGGATGATATTTGTCTTTGTTGGTGACATTTTCAGTTTCTCAAACATTTTACACCTACACTTCTCTAATGACTGTTCCTGTACAAATTTTAAGTCAAAACCAGAAATTTCAAACTCAATTAACATTTAAAAAAACAAAACAATTTCACTTCCACTGATAAGAAAAAGCATTAGTACTGAGCAGCACTTTTTGCAATGCTGCCTCTTAACTTTCCTTTCCAAAATCTTTTTGTTGCTCTCCAGCTCCCTAATGAAGAGCAGATTACGTGCATATTTACCAGTAGTTCTCAGTCATGGATTGGAATGAACATTCAAATTACTATTCTCAAATAAAAGGATATGTTCAATGTTCCTCCGCAGGTTCTCATTGAGCTTGGCCTCCAGCTCGCCCAGTTCCTCCTCGGCTTTCCTCATATCTTTCTGAAGCTCCAGGCGAGACTTTCTGGTATCGTAGTAACCTCCAGTCAACGCTCCACGGTGGCTCACTTGGTCACCTGGGAAGTCCAAAGGCATCAAGCTTACATCTAAGACATCTGCGTGCGTCCACACTACTACCCTGTGTGTGCCATAGTCAAGATGATACGCCTCTCTTTTACACGACATCTTCCAAGTGTTAACGTCTCACACTGTGGTACTCTCAGTCGTTAAAATGTGGACCGGCTTACCCTCCAGAGTTATGCAGTCCATGGTGAAAGCTCGAGCAAGCTGGGTGGACACTTCCATGCTACGACAAATCAGAGTCTTCCCAAACACGTGCTTGAAGGCCTTGTCAAAGTTGGTGCTGTAGCGGAGCTTGCTGATCATGGGGATAGCATCCTTTTAGGGAAAACAAACGGGGAGACAACCACAGCTGTAAATGCTGCACTCAACAAACTAAATCAATCAGCATCATCTCAAGCAACAGATGTAAACAACACATGGACTTACGTTAGTTTCTGGGTAGGCAGTGTCTCTGACATCCAGCTTGCTCAGAGGCAGGAAAGTGACTTCTCCAGGCAAGTTCATTTTGTTGAACTCCATCAGAATTTTAGTACTGACTTCATCAGTCTCCACAATGTGGTAAAACAGTCTGCAAGACAAAAATTATTTAAATAAATAATTCAAAGGTAAACAGACAATTTAAGATGTAGATGAGAATGACTGAAGCTTAAGGTAAAACCAGTCCTCACCTTGTTCCAGCAGTCACCTCCACACAGGTGTAAAAGGCAGGTTCACATTCAAAGTTATTCATGACAATGCCATGGTAACCATTGATGACATGCTGGTTAATTCCCTTCCGCCGAAAATGTTCAAGGACTTTGTTAATGCTGTCGATACCGTTCAGGATCGCCTGAAAGAGGAGTACAATTAATCATAATTTATAAAAGGGGATGGGAAAATATGTGAAAGAAAAAAATACTATTAGCATTCATTTAAAATCAAACAACGTAACTTAAATAAATCTAAAGTGAGTACAAATATTATCAAATTATCAAATATTTGCTCATAAGAACCAGCAACAAAAAGAGTCAATCTTTATACAAGGGAATAGAAAATACATTAAACAAATTTGAAAAAGTCAATAAAGAAAAAAAAACTAATGGATCAAAAGAAAAACAGAAACCAAATGTCTGTGGCAGCAAGGTGGAACACTAAAATGGTCCATGCACTGCAAATGAAGAACCATGTAAAAAAAAAAAACAGACTGAATCAGCCAGGACACATGAAAGAAAAATGAATGCTTGACATTTGTCCATGGAGCTACAAACAGCTTCCCTTCATCTCGGCTCATGTTATTCAGAGCTGATATTTGATTGATATGCCCAGAAGAAATGACTGCATAAGGCAGAGCAGAGTGAGTCATATGTAAATATAGCCAGCTATCATAAAGTGAAAATAGCGGGGCCGATGAATGATTCCATTTGATATACCTATCCTGACAGCCGGGTGAGTCATAAAGCCAGTACTTCACGGTGCTCAGGTGGGCTCAGTCAGAGTGATGCGCTTTACTCTGAATTTACCTTCACTTTCCCATTTTCCCTTCCTGTGTTCTCAGTAAGTGTCTGTACGATTGTTTTATAGACATACTGTGAGTTACAACTAAGGCTGGTACCACCATGGCGAACCACAAAAGATGCTGCTCGTTAACACCTTTTCTTTGCACATACACATCACTAAATAAATGGCGAATACAAGCATAAGAACACCAGAAAACCAATTATACGGAGCCTCAAACATGCATTAATGCTTACATGCTGTAGCCTGAATATCTTTTAGTGAGAATAAAAAGGTAAGGCAAACCTAGCTGGTTGTTGGCCCACTAGCTCAAATTGACCAGTTTCAGTGGAGGGTAATCCATATGGGGAGGGTATTCAGCTCTATCTGGGCCTCTTAACATTTCCCCGGTCAACCTCAAAAGGCCTTTTTTTTTTTTTTTTTTACAAAGGGTGTGATGGTTACCACTGGTTACCACTGCAAAAGAGATTACTGTCCTTGGTCTCACTCCAGGGGCAGACTGAGCTGAGCTGTTACTTCAAGTGTTCAAAGCAAGTGTTAACCTTGTCCTCTTTATTCCAGAGAAAGCATGGGGAGGTTAAAAGTTCGAGGCGATGTGTGCATGTCGTGGGCATCCATAAAGCTAAATTATATACATACAACTCTTCACTGAGACATCTAAAATTACTGATCAAGAAAGTCTTCATATTATACCCCAAAAAAGAGGAATCTGTGCATGTCCGTGCTTCGGTAAACCGGTATTTGCTTTTCTGTGTGTACACAGACACATTTTTTACTTGTCTTATCTTACCATTTTACCAGTCAGTAGTTACACTGTCATAGAAAATGACACAGACCTTGCCTGTAGCTGCTCTGAGGAGCTGCTGTTTCTTTTCCAGGTCCTCTCGTTTGGCTGCCAGGGCCTGCTGCTCTGCGTTCTCCTCACGCCACAAGTAGCTGGACAGATAGTCAGAAGGCTCTATGTTATGATTATGTCACGAGAAAGTCACCAGTGCATCTGCCATGACACTCAATAGAATTCAGCCCACATGAAAAAAAACAACAAAAAAAACATTTTTGTTTCATGCTGCATTCATGCTGGTGAGACTTTGTTGTGCCCTGTTACAAATCAAATGCTATGTCATGTTTCAGGAACAAACTCTATGGACCTTCTGAAAATAAAAAACCATGGCAAAAGCCTAAGGTATGGTCATTGGAGTCATATAGTTCACAAAAGTAAAATTTACTGCAACACACTAACAAGTAGCTTAAAGTTAAGAAGAAAAAAATATTGGCTTCGGGGGGGTTTCAGCCCTCAGTTGATGTGAGGTGCAGACATGACTCACTCATCAAAATAACGCAATGCCGCGCGTCACCAAACTTCACATAAACCTTGAGCCCACACCAAGCCTCCATTTTAAAGGTGCCTGTAAAACACTCTTCTACTTGTCCTTATCCTTTTATCAGGGGTCTAACACAGCACTTTAAATTGGCTTCATATTAAGAAAATGACTAGACATTTTCCTTAAACTCTACATACTGTAACACTTGTGCCTGTTTTAGCTCCTATTGTCTCAGAGGCCACACAGGAGTGTGACACAGATGCCAAAATCCTAACGAGGCAAGCATGACACAAATATGTTCACCAATGATGTCATCAGTTTTAGGCAGATAACCAAGACAAAAAATAAATAAAAAAATCTGACATTCGCCCTATGGAATCAAATAAAGAAATTCTTTATGTGTGAACTAAATAACACAAAACGTAAGGAAAAATGCCCTCTGATATAAAGCAGATTTGGACAGGGTTCTTACTTTCTTTCGCTCTGAAGTTCATCTTTCTTGTTCTTGACTTCATAATACTTTTTGTCCAGCTCCTCAACACGGGTCTTCACTTCGTTTAGGTCCTGATCGAGTTTCTAAATCCAAAATAAAACCACAAACATTAAATGACAAATATAATCATTTTTTAGATAACTTGAAATTAAGATATGTTGAAACGATTAAGATACCGTCAGGTCATTCAAAACTTATCGTAACAAAAGGTCATTTTTAAGAAATTACAATGGTAACACTCCTCTCAAGAAGCTTCAACAATCTCAGCACTAACAGCTTCTTGATGACCGGGTTATTGGTCTCCTTACATTGTACTGCTCGAGGTTCTTCTCTTTGTTTGTCTCCGTGTCCTCCAGGTCTTTGTGGATGGCTGCAATCTGCCTCTTCTTATCGTTGATGGCCTGGTCCAGAGACTTAAGCTCCTTCTTGATCCACTTGTCCCTCTCCTCCTTCGAGGTGAACTGACTGCCACGGCCCTGTTTGGCATACAGGTCAGTCCTCTCCTGTGTAGCTTGAGCCAGTCTGGATAGACACAAAGCAAAGGACAGAACAGAAGGTTTAACATAAAAGCAAAACTAACACATCATCTTAATAAAATAAATTAACCCTGTAAAAATGGTAAATGTTGACGTGTGCACAGCTGCTTACTTTGTGCCTCATTTTATTTGTCCTGCAACAATCACTTTAATCTACATCTAACTAGTTGACTGAGTTGACTCATTGATTGAGTGGCTGTGAATGACTCCCTACCTGGAGATGCCACGCTCCTCCTTTTCCTTAACCATGTTGAATTTGGGTTCAGTCTCCTGCAGTTCTTTTTGTTTCTCCTCAATTTTCTCCAGGAGCTTCTGGCGCTCCTTCAGCAGACGTTTCTGGTGGAGCGAGAACAGAGTTAAATGGAGGATATGTCCGACCTCACAGCTGATTAGCCAAGACCACCTACAACAAGTGAGCTCTTTCATTTTTGCCCCAATAACTTTTGGGTGATGTTGACCAAGCCGCGGCCAGCTGGGCTTCTTCCAACATCCCCCCCCAGTCATCGTACTTGCACACGAATGGAGCCACTAAAGCTGTTAACCATGATTATCGTCTTCATATTCGCATGCTCAGAAACACACACTCAACACAAGGCCATATGGAGAGTAATTCCTGCCAAATCTGGATACAAAAGCTCGTGCCATCAGTGATGTATAGAGGAGCAGCGCCTGATGGTGCTTATTCTGTTCTTTCTCTATTCATCCTACAGGACAATCCTCATGCTTGGGTTGGGTGGCATACCTCAAATAAAACACAGTACGAAAATCTTTACTAATAAATAAACACAATAATTTGAAGTTAACTGTTCTAATCAAATACCTAAAGTAAATATCTGTATTTATATTTAGTATGCTTAAAGGCAAAGCTTATTTACTTAAATATTTTATACTTATTTGCTGAAAATGTGCATGCACATTACAGACACCAGATAATCTGTAGGGGTAAAAAAAAAAAAAGGTTTCTTTTGGCTCCTCATATAGCCCTTGATGCCATTTCCAACAATCCACAGTCTGAGAGCATAGACCTCTCTGGTTGAGTTCAGACAGGGTTGTTAGATTCGACCTGAGAACCTGTTTTTTTTTTAATTAACCCACCTTCATCTCAATAATAAATCAAAAACTATTTGCAAACCTTAAATCTTTAAACTCTAGTTAAGTTCATCCATCCATTTAACTCATCTTATTACTTATTAATAATAAGAAATTGATCACTGCTTAGTGAGCCAGACACAGTCAGTTTTAGAAATGTAATCTTCCCTGAGGTGGAGTAGATGTAAATACATAACTCAGTCCTGTGTTTAGAGTCTCTGGAGATCTTTTTATAAATCCAAAAGGACACATATGACTTATTGCACTTTGCCTAATTCAATGGACAGTTTGTTACAGTAGACTCAGCCACTATTGAATGTTCGATGTTGCCTTTCCAATCCCTCTTTATTGAAGACCCAGAGTGAAAAATATGAGCACAAGTCTAAATGAAAAAATCTAATTAACTCATTCAGTTTCACTACCAGCTTTTTCCAATAGAAGTGATGATGATTGAACAGTGGAAAATTATTCATGTCACGATGAAACGACACCTCACACCCATACCGTCATCTCTCACTTTCTAGGGCAAAAACCTGTCATTTCAGAATGTCACATGGGTCCCTACAGCCACAACCTGAAGCCTCTACGGATAATATTGACCTGATTTTTTGTTTAGTTTTTTGACTTACAAAGTTCTCCTTTACAAACTTCTTGAGTCTGTCCAAATTAATAATTATAATAATAATGATATAGCACAACAATCATTCGAGAGGAAGTTACTTGGAGAAAGTTGTTAACCAATAAAGACCTAGTCGGTCAAAAGGGTGAATCTACACATGTGAAAGTAGTAAGAAGTCTTTGTTGTTAATGATTCACCAAATAAAAACAACTTTGCATTTGGTGTGAAAAATGACTGATGCTTCTCGCCACTATTGTTGAGTTTCTTAATTTCTTAACATTGCATCGACCCCACATAAATTCTGTCAGATAGACAACTGTCCTTCCCTTTAAAGGGGAGGGTGGGGGGTGTTGTTGGTGCAGCATCACGTGTGCAGTGTGACGCAGATTGGAGGCTTCCGTACCCTCTGTTCGCTGTTGCCTGCCAGCTCATCCTGCAGGTCCTTGGCCTTCAGCTCGAGTTTGGTCCTCTGCTTGATCTGCTCCTGGCGCTCCGCCGACAGTTGCTCCCTTTCTTCCTTCATAGCAGAGATCTTTGACTTCAGCTCACGCACAACGCGCTCCGTCTCCTACAGGACGGGAGCCAAAAAAGAAAGAACAAAACAAACAAAGAAACAAAACAACAGACTGTGAGAACAGTTCCAAAAGAAGCAGAAAAACAATGACTCCTATCCACCAAACTAATAAAAAAATATTTTACATAATATCAGACTGTACAATCAGGTGGTTAATTTTTATGAGAGAACTGTGAGCCACAAAGCACTGAAACATAACTAAAGATTCTTATTGAAATACTCCCCAAAGAAATTGAATATGTTTTGATGAATGCAGCAGCATTTTTTCTTTTTCATCCACTGCTGGTTAAAAAGATTTTGATATAAACCTTTAATGTTGAATTTCTTTACCTCCACTTTGTCTCTGGCATCTTGCTGAGCATCACGCAGCTGCCTGGATTTGTCTCCACAGGTCTCTCTCTTGCTGGAAAGCTAGAAAAGATCAAAGCAAAACACAAAGTCATTGCAGAGGCAAATTTGATTAATGTAAATCCCCTCCTGCTAACTTTGTTACCTCATCCAGCTTGGCACGCGTTTCATTCAGCTCCTGGTTGTAAATGGTGTACTCCAGAGCTCTTCTCATCTTGTCCCACTTCTGGTACTGAGCCAGCTCTTCCTTTTCATCTTCCAGGGTGTGCAGGCGCTCCTCGATGTACTTCAATAGTTCATTGATCTTTTCTCGCTTCCCCTCTGGGAAAATGTTCAAATCAATTTGTTTTGTAAAAAGCTTCATCTCATTGCAAGGTGATTTCACTTAAATGTTCATTGGTAAATGTTTTTCAGCCAGTGTGTATTTTTAAACAAAATAAAAAAATGTATAAGGATAACATTTGCTTCAAACATATTGAAATACAATGCAAATAATTGAATTAAATTACATACATTTCTTAAGTTTAAAGAAAGAAACAAACATCTGTCACCACTGTATGTGTTCTGTTATAACACTGCACACTCTGTAGGTCATTGTCTTCGGGGGTCTGAAACTAATTGCAGTTCATCCTCATGAACACATAAGCGTGAGTATTGCATGTGATATTTTATCCTGTCCACCAAAACCAAACTTATAGCAACTGATGAAAGGATAGCGTGCTGAGAAGCATTTACCCGTCTCCTTCATGAGTGAAATGCTCTCCTCCTTTCGTTCGTCGTACACTCGTGTTCCTGCCACCTCTCGCAGAAGCTTCAGACGCTGGGAGTCGGGCGCTGTGGCCATTTGGTTAATCTGCAGGAACCGTCAAAATGACGCAGATTAAATACAGGCATATTGATGAATTGTCCACTGTAACCTAAAAAAATATGACAAAAATGTAATTGACTGAATATTTATATCTTAGAACCTTTACAAATAAACCTCCCTGCTTGATTAGGGTTATTGCTTTAAAAAATGCAGACCCATGCGCTCTATCATTTAGGACTCGCTTTGTAAACAAAGCTGCTCCTTTCTCACCTTTCCCTGCTTGACGATGTAGTAGGGGTTGCTGCGAGAGAAGCCGGCGCTCTCCAGAAGGTTCATGACATCATTCTTACTGCAAACAACAACACCACATCGAATCCATGAAATCTGTAACTTGTAATTTACTGTGATTACAGGGACGTTGACAGTCTACCCACAGCTTTACTTACGTCACCATCTTCTTGTCCAAGAAGTACTGGTCCTTCTTTGCACCGATGACGCGGCGAAGGGAGACCTCCTCTTTGTCAATCTGGAGGGGGTAAATTGACATGTTGAAAAACTGCACACAGCAGTTAAAATGGCTGTTTATCCCCCCACAATGTTTCAAGGCTGATTACAGTTTCAAACTGACTTTACAAACCAGCTTTGGGTTTGTATGGTGCTGTAAACATCCGGTTATTATCATCAACATAAAAAACACGGTGTGCAGCGAGAGCTGCGTGGTGCACTCACACTCTCTGTGATGTGCTTTATTTGATTCAAGGACTGTAAACAAATGTGTTAATTTATTTTCAATATCAGCGGTGAAAATAAATACATTAATAAACTGACCAAGACGTTAATAGATATTTGGGCTTAACCTCACAATTCGAATAAAACTAGGACACACGGAAATAGTGGGAAGTACTTTAGAAGTAATTTAAACAGAGTAACATAAAAGTTGTTGACAGTTCATGCAAATTATTAATTTATCATCCGTTGTGCGTCATGAGGAGCTGAAAAACATGAAATACATTTCCCCTGTTATGTTAATGACACCCAGCTCTATCTGTTATTCATGAAACCAGAGAAAACAAATCTATTAATGATGTCATGGGCTTGCCTTCCAGTGACAGATACCTCGATGGAGTACAATAGTTGTTTTTGCCCACTAATACATCAATCATTCTCTAACCAAGCAGTCAGTTTCTGTTGATAGTATAAACTTTTTTTTCCAGTACTACTGTGAGAAAGTCATCTTTGACCCGATCTTGTTTAGTTCTCTCGTTAAAAAAGGCCTCGTCAACAGGTTTCCTTTACTTATGTTGTATTGCCAAAACACAAAGCATCCTATCCCGGAGAGATGTTTAAAAACTGACCCACACATTCATCAAATCTAGATGGAACAACTTAAATGCCATCTTAGCTGGATGCCTAAACAACTTAAAATCTTACAGTTGATCCAGAATCCGGCAGCTCAAGTACTGACTGGTACTATACAGAGATCTTATTTGTGCTGGCCTCTGTACACCCATTTAGAATAGAACTGAAAATCCTTCTTATAACATACAAAGCCCTTAATAACAAACCTCCACCTGGTATGAAAGATCATATTGTTCTCTAGCCTCCAAACAAGACCAACAGAATAATATTTTTCAGACCATCTCTTGTTAAATTCTTGCTTTGTAAAGTACTTTGGTTTCCCTGGTGTTTGCTTGCTACATTTATACAGCTGACTTGAGTTATTAGTTCTTGGAAGAGGAATATCCCTGATATTGAGAGAGTGGCATGTGAATAATATCAGATACTTCCAGTTGAAACTCGGATACCCCGAAAATTATATTTGAAGCACCATGAATTACAACCCTCAATTGCAGCAAAAATGTTTGCAGTTCCTACCGGCAGCCGGTTGTCAGAGTTGTCAAATATAATCTCCACAAAGGCCGAAATGACACGTGGACCAGTTCCCTCCTACAGTGAGAGGAGGGAAAACATCATCAATGCAACAGTTAAAATGGATCACTAAGAATGATTAAGAGACATACTTGTAAAAACATTGATGATATTAAATCAACATTTTTATTTCAACATTCTAAATTTGCGGATACTAACGTGGAGGAGGGCCAGGCGCTGTTCAGGTCGAAGGTGGCTGAACTCATCACTGAGCACAAACTGGATGGCTATAAATATGGGAGATAGTTTTAGATGACAGATAATACAGAGAAGCAGTTACAGAGTCACAGAAATAAAGGAGACTAGCATACCATAGAAAAAATTACTCTTTCCTGAGCCATTTCTTCCAACTGAAATAAATCGAAGCACAAAACAGAGAGAGATGTCAGGATTGTGGGACCCACACATCATTAAAAGACAGAAAAATATCCAAGATGCTGTTAAACAGGATGAAACACACTCACCAATAACATTGTGCTTTGGACTAAAGGGATCGACCACCGTTTGGTCCCTGTAACTTCGGAACCCCTGAATAATAACCTGTGGTAAAAACCAAGGGACCACAGTGAGCACCCAGATCACAACGCTGGCAAAATCTGGTTAATTTTCGTCACGTGCTGTTGTTTATGTCCAGATAAAAGGCACACGTTTCTACACATTTATGGGGATTATTTGAATAAATACGTTTTGCTATCAACAGCGTTAGAGGGCCTCCCTGACTGTCACCGTGCAGGCTAGCAGCGGCTATCATTAATGACGTTTGCCAGCTTGATAACGATAGAAATCATGAATCACTTGCCAAACAGGATATCAAATGTATGCTTTGCAGAGAACATCCGTATGCAATATAATCGTACGGAACTCAATAGTCGAATTATTAAGAGCCTATTAAATAGAGCCAAGTAGTATTTGCCCCTTGAACGGGTGGGGAGGGGGGTAATGTGAAGGGCTTGCATCTCCATTCAAGACAGCGTTAGCTAACATTAGCTAACTAGCACCTCGACTTATGCTTTTCAAAGCGTTTTGCTGGATTTGCAACCGGATAATTATTGTTCTATGCATAAAACTCATAGATGCACCCCATGTTCACCAAGTAAAATAGCGTTAAGCAAACGTCGTTAATGTTATTTGGTTAGTTGATAGTCGGCATCATCCACAAGCCTGGCGACGCTAGCTTACCTGTTTTATGTACATGGCTGTTTCAACAGGTCTTCAACTCGGCAGAATTTGGAGACAAAACAAAAAATCCCTCCTCCACTAATCTGGAGAAGATGGGAACCTAATAGCACACACTTTGCAAAGTAAATTATCGCATTCAAAATTTGTGAAGTAAAGTGTGCTAAGAGAATAACATGGAAAATGGCGGCGGGGGCGGGATAGGATGGATCAAACCAATATCTATATAAAATATGTAGTATACAATAAAGATATATAAAAATGTCGATCGCAAAAAGATTCGCAGAAATAATAAAAAAAATTATAACGTGATGCAAGTATGTTTTACGACATTTTATTTGTAACTGAATACACTTGGGTTGAGAAATGCTTTGTTACCTCATAGCCTTTACAGTTGGTACATTCCTTCTCTTTTCGTCTAGGCGCCAAAGAATTTTGTTACAGTAGTTGTGCACAGCTCGAGTCCCAAATCACCACTGAAAGTACAAGGTTACCTTTTGGAGTTACGGTATCAAAAGGCCTGTATGTAATACTTAGTTATTAGTTATTTAGTTATTCTTTTCCATATGCATTTTATGTACCTATGTATTTCTTGTGTTTCTTCACATTTTCTGGCATTACTCATCCATATTTCCTTATCTGTCATCATACTTTCCTGATAGATTCTATTTTACTGTACAACCAAAACTCCTCACTATGTCCATCAAAAATATTATTTTTGTTTAATATATTCTTTTTAGCTTAAGATCTGTTTTTTTCCATGTCAAAATAATGGAAATTAATATAATTCATATGCCACAGATTAGACAGATTTATTAACCAACAATATAGGCAAAGCTGTGTCTCTATTTCAGGGAAATATTTCATAAAGACCCACCCAAGTCACTCCAGGTGTCGCTGTTGCCTCTGCAGTTGCATTTTGTCCACCAAGGCAAAACCTATAACCAAGAACTCAAAATATTTGTTGATTTTTCATTTTTGTGAGTGTTATTTGTTCAGTGACTTGAAAAAGTGCAACTTTTTTATATATTTGACGCATCAACTGCATAAACTATCCCAAATAGAAATGATAACATGGCCATATTTGTGGTGAAAACATTTATTAAACACATCTTGATATCCACATTGTTGAAAAAACACCAAAGTTTTCAAATAAATTAGTTTTAAATGCCTAGCTTTATTCTTTGATAGGCAAATTAATCACAATATCAACCTAAGGCATGTATATTGCAGTTTATTGTGTGCTGTGTTGTTTGATCACTGCAGTTCAGAAGATAGGAAGCAGAATTACTTTCTACTTTCTGCAGATTTGAAACACCTCAAGTCATCTGAGGCTGAAAGTGTCCTCTCTTCGTTCCTTCTGTGGCTGATATTCAATCTACCTGCTCTGCTGGCTTCAACATCAGACACACAGAGAGCTTCGATTCTTTAATTTTCAAGTAAGACTACAAGCAGTCACAGATCATTTTAAGGCAGTGCAGTTATGGGGCTCAGTTTGAACTGGTGGTGGACTGGGGACTGCAAGCAAGAGGTAGGGAGGGCGAACACGGACGGCTCAAAGTTTTTGGTGTTGAAAGTGGTGTTGAAGTCATTGGCAAAAAAGGAGGCCGACTCTGGGACACAGGGAGTGGCCGGTTCAGGTGTGACAGCGAGGGCCGGGGCATTGGAGAGCACCTCCGACTCAAACTGCAGCAGCTGGCCCATGAAACTGAAATTCGGTGAGACGACCGCCCTCCGCTTCTTGATAATGTCAAATGCTGCATCCAGTCGCAGCTGCTGGGTCTTCATGATGTAAGCCATGCAGATGGTGGGGGAGCGTGAGATGCCCGCTTCGCAGTGTACCAGGACCTTCCCTCCTGATTGCCTCACATGATCTGGGAGGAGAAAAAAGGGGACACGAACGTGTAAATAATCTTTATAACTCAGAGCATTCATCTATTTGAATTTCACCAGAGTGCAAATGCGTCACATCAGATTTATCAGTTTTTTTCTCTGAGTTTTTTTTTATCCGGATATTTAAAGTCATGTCGTTTAAAATCCCTCAGCTGGAAGTTTTCATTTGTAGGCATTTATTGTTAAACTATGTTGTCATTGCTTTTCTCACTCGCTTATTCTGAGAACACCACATGTAGCAATAAATATGGGCAAACTGGGGCACAGAAATTCAAACCCATCCTATTCCAGTTTCGGTGCCGCGCACAAAGACACTTCTTTAGCTCGTGTTAGTCACAGGACGCAGCTGCTCATGACATTTTTTTTTCCCCTGCGCTGCCGTGTGGCTGCCACATTGGCAGCGGCTCAGTCGTGTGCTCTCATTTAGGGCGTCCGCTCTCCTGAGCGCTTATCAGTTTATTCTGACGTTTGTGTGCAAACCTACACTCGTTTGTCTTCCCCTCTCCCTCGACGTGCTCCCAGGTTAGATTGAACTTATTCTTAGAGTGACTCCAACGCCTACACGTCTCCTTTTTTCCGTCTCGCATGTTAAGTCTCATCAACCTACGCGCCGAGCGGCAGACACCTGAACGGCTCTGATCCTCCATAAAGTGCGTGAATGAATCATGAACCCCAGCCGAAGGAGGCGGATGCTGGGAGCTCGGAACTCTCTCGCCGTGGGTGTTTTAATGACCAACCTCGGGCTGAAGACGACTGCTCAGAGACTGTTTTTAATCCCCGTCCATAATATTAATCATCTCTTTTACGGCCTTATATCGGTCACTCAGAGTCAGAGTCCAGGCTTGCCCTGAATGTGGGCTAAACCTGCTCCTGGAACAGTTTTATTTTGCCTTACATAAGCACCAGGCTTATGTAGAGAGAGATTGCATCCCCAAAACAATGCACAATATCAACAATAGCCGCCTCCCAATGCAGGTCAGCCGAGCTGCTTGTGGGTGAGCTTTGTCCTTGGTTATGCTCGTCTATAAATATCTCTGGCACATCGGGTACATCTATGCTGATGCTTTTATCATCCACCAGCTCTCTCCTCTCCCACACTCCTGTGACACATTTACTGCCCCGCAGGCCTCAGGGCGGTCAGCGATTCCCACCTCGCAGAGACAAACGAGCACGCAGCCTCATTGTGCGCGAGGTTAACTAGTGTTTATACTCAAACCCCGCCCTCGTAAACAACTGTTTGTGTGTCAGCTGGCCCCTCAAAACTCCTCCACCCAGCCGTTACCAAACATCTCACCCAGTTGTCACGCCGACTGACCACACCCGATGACGGCATCGGAGCAGTTTTTTTGCAAGATAAGACAGTGGGGGGAGGCCACAGAGGAAGTGAGTAAATCCTGACTGACAGAAGAACTGAGTGGATATGTTGGCAGGGGATTGAAGACTGGTGATCAAGTTAAACTGATTACAGCTGGGTTTCCTACAGGTTTCTATTTGTGAATGAGAGCGACGGATAGGCCAAGACAAAAGCGGCCTCATTTTAATAGACTTTGGAAAAGTAAGCACTTCTATGAATAGGACCGTCTCGAACGCCGATATTTTTAAGACTCGGGTAAGGCGGTATTATAAATACTCAAAAGCTAAAGTTAGTGTTCTTCCCGGAAAAGACAACCATCTGGATGCTGAAGCAACGTCTCTCTGGTTTGATTAGTCGGAACAGTTCTGAGCAAATACAAGCAGAAGAAGAATCTGCACGCGGTCGAATTGAACTCACCGATAAACTCTATGGCCTCCTGGAAGTGAGAGCTGATGTCGGCCATGTGGCTGTCCTCCACCGGGATCCACTTGTAGTCGTAGTGGCCCTTGGCGGGCTGCAGGTCCCGCCGCGACACGTTGAGCAAGGCCGTGATATGAAGGTCGCTGAGATAGTCCTGTCTGGAGGCGTGGTAGGCACTACCGAGGTAGAGGAAAGGCAGGATCTCTACGGGTTTACCCTGCGGAGCAGAAGACGGATACGTGAGCGACTCTGTGGCGAGACACAACACCCCGACCGGCAGACTCCGCGCACCTGCTGTCAGCCCCCCCCATCCCTGAGAAAGTGCACCCATTTTTCCAAACCACAACATCTAAGCACCTGCCAGCCGAACATTATGTTCATTTTTAGACTAAATGCTCAGGAAGATGGAAGAAAGGTCCCCCGCTTTTATCTGGGCCATTAGGTGCAATAAGCCTGTGTTTGCCGTGGAGCTCTTTAGATCTAAAGCCGTATCATGTTTTTCTATTTGCAGTGGACAACACAGAGGAAAGGTCAGTGATAAAAGAGAGGGTTTTTTTATTCTTAAAGGGTGTCCCGATGTCAGTTGGGCATCATTGCAGGATTGCTGTCTTTCTGTGTTGGATGTAAAAATGGACTGGGGAGCAGGGAAGGTCACAGAATATCACATTTACATTGAGAAAAGGCTTTGATGCCCAAAATAAAAAAATGTCTCTGATGTCAGGAAAGTGCGTTTTAAACTATAAAAATAAAACCTGACAGTTGGTGTTTGCCCTGTGGCTGCGTGGGTGAAATGGAGGGGAGTTCTGCTTTAGTGAAGGGTGTTTCCATACCTGATCGTAATCTGGCTTGTGGTGAGAAAGCTTCTCACTGTGGCCGTTGACTCTTTTCTCGGTTTCAGTTCCGCTGTGGTCGATGGTTTTCACCTCAGTGCAAAGTTCAGGGTATTGAGAGTGGAAGTTCTCGTATCCTCCTTTGAGAAGGAGAGGATAAAAAAAGGAATATGAGCGCACATTGGAAGAAAGAGGCTTAGAATAACACACACATACACCTTGTGAAAGGGTAGAGTTTATGAAACAGTCTTAGCAGCGGATTACAGCCTTTATAACCTGATTATAGACGCGTAATTAATTACAGGAGACCGCTCCAAAGGACCGGTAATCCTTTTAGGGCAACATCCTGAGGACGGAGGAGTAACAGACGGAGATGGACGCATTACACTACATCATTACAACCCCCTCGTAACTTCTTTAGCTGAAAGAGAGCGTTCGAAGAGGGGGGTTGAGTTTTCTTTCTCTACTAAATTTGTTGTAGACACATTTGCCTGCGTTTCTGTAGCCCTGACTCATCCGCTCTGACGCACGCAGGATATATCAGAAATAAAGGGGAAAAAATATAGATTTCTCTCGAAAATGAAACGTCAAAGACGATTTAATTATAGCCTACCCATAGTGAATCCACCAAATGAAGAAATCATCGATTAATTGCGTTTCCTAAAATCAGTGTAATGGATTTTAAAAGCTCAAAGCCCGGAAGGGAACAAGGAGAGATTTAAATAGAAGTTATAAGGTTAACTCCGAATAAAGTTTTTTTTTTTTTAATCATTAATGAATAGCCCAGAAAACACATTCCTTGAAAGTCTAATCAAATCTGAACACTGGTGGTTCGGTGAAAGATCCCAAAACAGACAACACACGACACAATAAACTCCACATGCCCCCCCCATTTTCTCTGAACTGAAATGGTAGAATTTTTTTTTTGTGTTTGTTTTCCAAAAGCTCTCACCTTTCAGGAAACAGATGCTCGCCCCGCTGGCTAGATGGGAGAGGGTGTTTATTACTATTTGTGCTACGCTGTCCTTTTTCAGCTTTTGCCAGTGGGACGTCCGGTCATCGAGCGCCACGATGGCCGATATGCTCCCCTCCCGAAGCCGGAACAGGGCTCTCTCATCCGGGATGACGAACTGCAGGGGCACGGGCCCCCCTCTGGACCTCCGGACCACCACCGAGTTGAGATTGACGTTGACGGAGCCCCTGATGTTGGAGTTGGTGAAGGAGAAATAAGGTCTGCAATCCACAATAAGGCAGCTCCCGCACTCCTTCCTGATGATCTTCCTCAGACGGCGGCAGTCAATGCTGGAGACCTTCATTTTTGTGCGTTTGGAGTTTGTTTATTGCCTAAAGAATGACGCTGGAGTTACTCCTCGGTGAGGGCGAACGAAGTGCCCGTTGCGCGTCTTTGCCTACATTTCCTCCAAGGGGATTCCGGCCGATCGGTTTTATGTGAATGGGACCTCCGGTGCGTGACGCGGCGAACCATATATGGACACCGGTGACGTGTGATGCAAGGAGAAACCCGCCCACGTCCGTGACTGCTGGGGAAATAAGAAACTGCAACCGTCCGGGGGGGGGGGGGGGGGGGGGGGGGTTTGATTCAGCGTCCTCCAGAGGCTGATGACCATTCACAGAATTGCAGAATGCAGACACGCGCGTCGTGGAGTGATTTCATGCTGGTTTATCAAAGCTGCAGAGCCATTGTTTTGTGATTTGTGGGGAACCCAGACCAGAGAGGTGACGTGGAAAATGGAGGTATCCATAACATGGTTCATCGAGAGAAATGGCATACAATAAACATGAGAGGCTTCATTTACCACGTGAGGGAGGGTCAGCTAATGCACAGAGGTATTGATGCTGCTGGTCATTTAGTGTAAGAGCCTTTCATTTGCATAGATATGAGATGTATTAGAGTGGATGGGACAAAATGTACCAAAAGCTAAGGCAGAAAAATAGTTCTATTTATTATTCTGCATGACAGAACATCTATGCATCCTTCAGTTAATGTCGGTCAATAAATGTAGATTTAAATCAAACAATGAAATACATAAACATAATGTTACATTGATTTAAAAATGAGCTTTTACCAATTCCGGGATGTATTTTTAAACTATATCAGCCTGAATATTCTGTATTATCTTGTGTGTATGTTTCCCATTTTAGCTGTATAAGAGTTGGAAAAATGAAAATACAGAATTTTCTTCTTCTTTTAATTAAATTAAATGATTGTCAGTCATTGTGAGACTCAATAGAAAATTGATCAATTACAATAATGGCTGCAACTATTAATATTATTTGGAATACGTTTGCGATCCCCCAGACGGCCTCGATGGTCACATTTAGTACAACCACTAATAAACAGAAAATAGCTCAATGAGGGAGACCAAACCCACGCAAAGCCTTCCATCCACCAATGTTTGCACTATAAGAGCAAAAAGAAATGATCTCTTATTACATGAATATCTGTGACCAGCTATCCCATTGTATTCCCCATCCTCACAGCAGATTTTTTTTGTGTCAGTGGTTTGTGAGTAATCCTCTGTGTGGTGTTGGGCAGTGTGGGGAGTTGCAGGAAGAGATCAGATGAAGTAGCTGACAAAAGCAACCTGGAACTTCCGGCCAGTCCCATGTATAGCTCAGTGGAGCGGCCTGACACTCATCCAGCATCCCTCAGTGTGTAAGTCTAATCCCCCAAATGAATTAATAGGTTTAGACGTCACGCTGCCCGTGCACACACGATGCTCAGTCAGTCCCGACACACTGCTCAGAACTGTATTTGGGTTTCCATTTGCACGTAAATACGCGGCCAACATCGAGCACGGAGCCTCTAATCCAGAACCCTGCGGGGTCCAGCTCGGAGTGGGGGAATCATTCTCCGTATGGCAACAAAGACAGCAGAGAGGGGAGGAAGAAGCAGAAAACAAAATGGAGGCTTGGCTGGAATAAAACAAAAACAAAAACAAAACAAAAGCAAAACAGACTCCCTGGGTAAACCAGCCTGACAACTGACGGACGGTCTGCGGCACAGATGCTAATGAATGCCAACAAAAACCTAATGGAGAGAGAGAGAGAGAGAAACTCAAATCTGAAATACGGACGGACAGCGGGACGGGCATACTGACAGCTCCTCCAACCAGCCCAGCTGGAGGATTGGAGGGGAAAACACAAACAAGCAGGAAAACAATAACAAACAACAATCGACTGCCCTCCCAGCCGGGTGATGGGAGAGACGGGTCAGCTGTGGTCAGCTAAGCTGCCCGTCTCTGAATGGAAGACAGAGAAGGCTGCCGGAAAGATAGACTGACAGATAGATAGATAGATAGATAGATAGATAGATAGATAGATAGATAGATAGATAGATAGATAGAGAGAGAGAGAGAGAGAGGCCTTGTGGCAGGGGATTAGAGGTGACAGCAGGCAGTGTGCCATATGGTCTGGTCTAATCTGGGCTTGTGACATCACAGATGAGCGGGGAGGCCCTCCGTCCGAGTTTTCATTTCATTATCAAATTCGCTCCCGTCAGCTCTAAATAACAGCGGTGAGCCCAGGTGAGCCGGGAGGACACAAGGTTGCGATGGACCGTGCCTTTCTTTTCTCCCCTCTCCTCCTTCTTACTCCGTAGTACGGCTAATGCAGGAAACGGAGCCCTGGCGGCAGGCTTTCAGGAACGACCGTGGCCGTGACCGACGCAGCACTTAAGGGCCGTATGTGGGGTGATGTCACCGGGTCACAAGTGCAACGGTTCAATTTTTCTTCCTCTGATGTTCAAGGCCCCCGGGATCCATTAAAAACATGGGAAGCCGGGGGCTTTTATCATGGACAACCCACAGTAATGGGGGGGGGGGGGGGGGGGGGGGTACTGAGGTTTCATGACCTTGTAAGACCTCGCCTGTTACTGTGACTAATTCACAGGTTCTAGATCTTCCTAATCCCATTTCCATCATATTATATCCATGATATTTATTCACCAATTAACCACTGAAACTGGATTTTAAAATGTTAAAAAATAAGATTAAGAATAACATTAACTTTTCTAAATGTTGTTTCTGTGTATTTATTGAATATCTTATTTAATAATTTCTCAATAAAAAAAACAAAACAACTAAAATTTAATGGCTACTTTGTGACATATTAAATTGACAACTTAAACTAAGTTCTCTTGTTTTGCAGTTTAACCATTAAACGTTCAGTCAAAATGGTGTAATTACAACAAATATTTACATTAATTCTGCACAGAATGCATTTTTGTGTTTGTTATCATTCCTTTTTTTTACCAGACAATAACTCTTGGCTGGTTTGAGGTTTGTTACTTCGTGAACTGACTTCCTGTTGAGAATGCCCCCAATTTTCACCACGTGACTTACGAAAGGAACTCACACACAATGGGTCGCCTTTGCTGGGACACCGAGCCCAGCTCACCCTTCCTTCTCTCTCAGCTCCACAGGTGCTTCCTGGTTTGTGGACAGACACTCCAGATGATGATGCTGTTTCCCAGTAAGGCCCACATTACTCACTTTGCCTCAGCTGACCACCGAGCGCCGCCGGCTGGAATTCCACTCCAGTATCAAAAGGACTCAAGGACAGAGCTCCAGTCCAAATATGTATCATATCATATATATATATATACATATATATATATATATAGAGTCCAATCTGATGTTTATATTCGTCCCATCTGTTGCTCTATACTTAATCTCTAACTCTGCACTTCCTCTCATATCACATATTGTCTTGGGTCTTGTGGTTTAGTGGTTGCATCTGCCTGAGTTTATTTAAAGATTATTTCTAATGACAATCGTGCCTCATTATGATTTATTGATGATGATGAAAACGTGTTGATATGTTGTTGCTGGTGTGTTATGTTATACCAAAAAACAAAACTGAACGAGACAGGAAACCAAATGTATTCCCTGAGTCACAGCAGAGCAGATGTTCTTTAAAATTAATCAAAACGGCAAAGTTTTAAGGCTCACGATCTCCGCACGATGTCACACGAATGCAGCCAAAAACACACATATGCTGTTGTTGTTTCACATTTCTAACCCTTGATATAGACACATTTAGAAATGTTGTATATTCTAATGCTGAAAGTATTGTCGTGTGGCCTTACTAACATGAACATGAAAGGAATCGTGTGTGACGTCACTGGACGGGAAGTATAAATACACCGAAACGTGGCATATTGTAGGAATGAACTCCAACGTGGTTTTGACTCATCTTCCAAACACCAGCGGTGCGTTATGTCACCCCAGCATTCCTGTGAAGTGCAAACAATACCAGATAAAAAGCCTGAGACGACATGTCATCCATGGAACATCGTAAAATTGACAATAATCCAGAAAGGTGGAGCAAGAGAGCCCAATGCTCAACATAAAACGAGAAAATCTGGAAAAGAACGTGTGACATCAGACAAAAGCACAAAGCTAAAATAGAAACCTCAGTGTAATTAGTTTCCTTTAGGCCTTGTTGTGATGTTTTTCTCCTTGGAGCTGGGGCACACCTCAGCTGCATGGTGAAAAACTGCAGATTAGTTTCAGGAGTCTATTTATAGATCCACTGGCTAAGACCACATTCCACAGATGTACTTATCCATAAAGTAAAGATTAAGAAGCACCAGCCACCCAGAACAGGCACAACACTGCGCTGGGGGTAAATATGAGCTCCTGTGTCTTTAAAACATGTCAAAAGATTATTAGTGGGGAAACAATGATGCTGATGAATTTCTCAGAAAGTCTTACAGGGATCGCTGAGGGCACGTTGTCACATGCTGGTCCTTGTTTATGCAGATTCCGACTGTAGTCATTCAAAACAAACTTCGGCACTGTGAGTAAGCCTCATAGTCAAGTCATATCACATCCAGTAAACCTCTGGCTGCCAAATCCAATATGGAAAAGGAATGTTTGGTATTCTGGTGTTCACGCCACGATTCGATGGCCCATATGACACATGCTGAACACACACTCCGTTGCGATAGCTTCAAAGGGCTTGACTCACCGTTTCCACCCACTGCTCCCCATCATGACATGACTGTTCAAGTCGAGCCAACACCTGGGAAATACAAGCAGTTGTAAGAGGCCCAAAAAAAAGAGAGAAAGTTTGGCATCTTCGAAAAAAAAGGCTAGTTTACACATTCCTTTCCTCACAATGATGACGTTCAAATTTGTGTCGCACAGACACAGTTGAGCTCTCATATGGAGACAATGTTTGCTGGCCTATTTATGTAGCAGATGAATGCGTATTCTGGGAATTCACTGCGGTGCCTGATTTATTATTTTTTTCTTTATACACAGCTGCAGTGAGACACTTGAATTAGAGAGAAAAACGAACTCCTCTTGTAATTTTCAGACCTCTCCCATAGAAAAGAGAGTACTTCCAGTTAAAGGGACGTTGTAACTCCAAGTAAAGGAGAATCATATTTTGCGTTGAAAAGTGCTGTGAATCACAGCATGACCTGGATATTGAGGAGGAGGTTTATATCAGAGCCTGCAATTTATCGCGACTCTTAAAATAATGCTGGTCTGCATGCAGACCTGTGAAAGCCTCCATGACAGATGATAATTAAGGAGAGAGGAGTACAT